CAGACGAACAAGCAAAATAGYAATAAAAAAAGCAATAACATCAGCAACAAAAACCAAAATCGACAATTTGTTGTCTAGAGTATAGGGAGGGATTCATTGGCTATGATTACTATGGATATTTCTTATTGTATCTTTGACATTAATATAACTGGATATTTTAGAAGTGCCTCTACCAATGCAGCGGTCAATACTGCTGGTTAAATCAACGAATAAAGTTCATGTGTGTGCAACAGAAGTAATCAAGTACGTCACAATTTAAAAATATACTTCTATATTGTACATGACATATCAGAAAAAGAAGTGTGAAAATCATGTGTCATATATCAATAAATCACGGCTAATTTCAATGTAACATTTTGTGCGAGCGCCCCTGCACTTCTTTAAGCTGTTAATAGGCAAAATTTTGAGATTTTGAATTTGAATTTTGAGACCGGAATGTATTGTGGGTACGTAGTTTTTAACTCCGAACACTACCAACAACGACTTCCGTTGGAGATCGATCCGTATTATTCCAATATTYTAAATGTCTGCTMTTATATTCCGATCCGAGCATTYAAACGCAAGCATRTCMCATGCATTATATTGACAAACTTAATTGAAGTAATTGTATATTGTAATAGGTTTAAAAATATCCCGGTTTTGCTTATTTGCTTTGTCTTGCTGTGTTCTGTTCTGTTTGATGTTGAAGTGTCAGGGTTTTTTTACTATTCCAGGGGAAAACCAACTTGTTACATCTCAGAAAACAAAGGTTTATCATGGAAAGGTTTGTTATTCTATGGATATATAGTAATATATAATAAATGCAGCTTACTGCGCACCTACAGTTCGAATCCGACATCTTTATATTCCCACGCAAAGCAGGATATAAGCATAAAAAAATCAAAATGGAAACTCTTATTAGACGCAAACAACTGAATTTCCAGGAACCCATTTGTTGTATGGTAAAGCATATCCTCGGGGGTTTGAGGGTAAATTCTACCTTTACTCCCTAGCATATTACCACTTACTCCCTAGCATATTACCACTTACTCCCTAGCATATTACCACTTACTCCCTAGCATATTACCACTTACTCCCTAGCATATTACCACTTTGTTGGTGATGTACGAGTCGATTATTGTGCAGCAATTGATAAAGTGGACATATGCATGAGCAAACTAGCAATGCAATACCAACCTTGTTCCACGTTCCTTTACCTTTGTTTGGGGGTCGACCTGGGAGGTCTAATCACCGCTAACAAAGGTAAACAAACTATTTATCTAGTAAAATTACTTCACAGGAATTCCAACAAACGTGCTTAATGTGATCGCCTTCGACCCACGTACCGGTTTGCTATATGGCTTGTCTCGAGACGGTAAGAAATACATGAGAAGTCAAGACTCYAGCGGTGAGAAATGGCGGGGAATAGCCCAGAAGGACTGGGCAGCTGTTCAAGATGATATTCTGATCAGAGCTGAACATATCCCTTTTGTACCCATAAGCCAAAGCGAGATGTCTGAGGTTGATCCGACTGTACAGATGACTAGTTTCAACGGCGATAAGTGGCTGGGTAAGACATAGCAATGTCATGTCATGTATGACGTCATTGTGTGATGCTGGTATAACCTGACAGTGCAGTCTTGACTCACTTATTAGGCGCMTAACCAATTTGGCTTTAAYCACTCAATAAATGCCAGAGTATGACCAACATTATATAATGTTTACCGCGTGTTCACTGATAGTCGACTATACGAATTAAATTCTTCGGTTAGTTTACTTTCAATTGTTTGTGTAATGATCTATATGATCGTCGCATCATAATTTAAGTGATTATTAAGAAATGTATGGATCACTCAAAAAAAATTTCGGGCTTCAACGGGGACTCATCGAACCCGTTCTAGTGCTCTACCAACTGAGCTTTGAAACCCATGAAGCCAACATTTTTTAATGGTTGGACCCATCCATTACATCATCCTTTACATCATAATTTCAATTGTTTGTTTGATAGTCGACCAGACAGGAGTGTATCACAAACCAAATGGCGGATCAACCAAAATGGTGTTATCCTTCCTACCATATAATATAGGTTAGTCATCTAATGTTAAACCATGTTAGTTTCTTCATCGACCGACGAAAGTTTCTTTATTATATATCAGACCGGAAGTGAGCTTAATCTTATCTTGTCTGTTTTATTTGTATAATGTATTTCACGTGTCTGTAAAATTCAAGGTTGATTGCGAGGTTGATTGCGAGGTTGATTGCGAATAACTGCGCGCCATACAACCAATGGATTCTCGGTCAAAAGAAGGAAACATTCTATTTTTTTTTCAGATCTCTCATCCAACATCTGTCATACTGGTGTTTGTGTTCATGGTAAATGCACATCTATCGGTGATATAGACTTTCGATGTGACTGTAATCACGGATACATTGGAACACACTGTGACACAGGTCGGTRGCACAAACYTGTACTAGTATCATCATTGCAAGAACAGCAGTGACAGTAATTCGACGATGCAATTTAATCAATGTCATATGGCTGATTGTCTAGTAACCGTATCTTATTTTCATCAGAAACTAAGGAATGTGCCAGTTCACCCTGTAAAAACGGTGGAAGCTGTATTGATGAACATTTGAAGTACAAATGCTTGTGTGGACATGGATTTTATGGTGACCAATGTCAAAGTAATTTCATCACCTTATTTTAGGATGGTATCAATCTAGTATCTATCCATCAAYCTAGTATTACATCAAAGACCAATCTCCTCAAAAATGTCTTTCATCTTTGTTTATCCATTTTKTGTCAATTCATTGCAATCTATTAATACACCAATCAACGCACTCAGTATATGATGTAATGATTGACCTGTAAACAATGCACGCTGATAATGTCATTAACTGATTATTTAATCTCATGAGTTTTATGATACAAAGTTTGTTCTGTATTTGTAAAAGGAATTGACGGATGTGCAAGTTCACCGTGCAAAAATGGAGGAACGTGTAAAAGAAATGGCGATGCTTACACATGCACATGTCCACCAAAATATCTTGGCGCAAATTGTCAAGGTAACGGAAAGATAAAGTCTACACAAGTTGAGTAAAAGAAGCAAGTATTCTTAATGTATTTACGTTCTTAAATTTTTCAGTGTATGACTACTGCTCCAGCTCTCCATGTTTTGACAATGGCACATGCACTAACCAAGCTTCATCATTTCAATGTACCTGTCTGACTGGGTATTCAGGATTACAGTGCGAAGGTATCCTCGAACTGTCTAGCCTAATCTAAAGGATAATGTACTATCACAGGATATATTAAATGTTGAATTAGATAGGTGACTAGATCCAGTCTAGATTTTGCTCTGGATTTATAAGTGTCATGAAGAAYTGCAGATGAACTAGACAAACGTCACCTAACCAGCTGCGAATAGTTTATGAACATGAGTGATATTAGCTATAGCAATAATGAACACTTCGGAAGAATGTTGTACAAGTTGACATTTGATCGTTTTGAGGGAATGTCTACTTTAATCAGTGGCTTCTTTGTGCATTAAGCCTGTCATAGCTCACAGCMCCGGGAAAAACGAAAATCATTTGTCGAAAGTGACTGCAAGACATGCCRTCTCGATGATAACTTTTCTTCAGMAACTTGCAAGACACAGTATATCATGCCACTTGCCAACTGTTYYTTCATTATTGTTGAAGATTAAAAAAGCTTGGCACCRCACTAAATTATATGATAAAATTATCGATYTCACTATCTGCACRGACCTCACTCTCACCCTKTTCACATTTTCATGGTAGACCACGTGACAGGGATGTCACTARTTTTATTTAATTGATTTTAWTKTAACTTTCTTGTTTCTAGTTGGGCCTTGTACTAATAACCCTTGTCAGAATGGCGGAACRTGCAGCTTGTCGCAAGAAACAAACTCAGGATACAAATGCTCATGTGCAGGAAAATATTCAGGAACAACTTGCACAGGTTTGCACTTTACCATTACAATGAGTAAATTGAGTAATTCGGAAATAGAAAAATGTAAAATGGACTTAYAAGTGTATATGTGGTTGATTACAACAACAATGTTTGAGACTCAGGGGAGGATCCAGCATTTTATAAGGGGGAGGGGGGAGRGGGGGTGCTTCTGTCAGTAATATATAGCTAATATATATCTTTGACTTTACTGTACTCAAGTTATGGATTGTCAAACAGCATAGTGGCAGACTGAGACACATGTTGTGTATGCTACTCGTTTTCTCGATAAAAGTACAACAGGAGTATAAACAGCAGAAAAACTTTCATACTGATATTCTTGACTTTCACTGATCACGTGATAGTCTAAAAAAGCTATTTAGAGGCAAAATTAGCAAACTKTTATTATTGTTCTCGAGARAACATCYTARTTAAAGGATCATGACGAAATTTAGAGCCAAAATAATGTTTTTTAACAGAAATACAAGCGATCGAAAATTGGTAAGAATGTATGGGATTAGCACGGCTCAATGCGTTTTGGACTAGTCAAGAAATACCTACAAAAAGCTTTGTTTTAAGATTCAAATTAATTTTTTTAAGTCCAAGGATCAAACAAGTATATAACTCCCAACAGTTATGCAAAGTTTGAATCAAAACTAGCGAAAATATAAGCGTTTTAATACGGTCTTACTTTACAAAGAAATGTATGGGGCCGCCATGATTGTGCCCCCGT